CCTCGACGTCCGTCGTTCCACAACTGAGCTTTTTTTTAGGCAGATTTTGCCGCACATCAACACTATCTGGAACCAGCTGCCCACTGAAGTATTTCCGAACTAATTCCACTTTCCACTCCTTCAAGATAAGACCGTACCGATTCTTAAAAGGCCGGTAACGACCTCGCGAGTCCTCTGGCATTGAAAGTTTCACTTAACATCAGGTGAGCGTCCTGCCCATTTTCCCCTGTTCTATGAAAAAAAATTGGTGCCTAAAAAATAAATCTACGGCTTCAACAACTCATAAAAAACTCGTTTTATCGCCATATTTATGGTATGGGAAAATGAATGGACATTTCGCGAAAACGGTTTGACATTTTTTAAGCCATTGAACCAAAAAAAATACCATAATTATAAAGTGAATATTTAAAATGTTACAATTCAAATATAGAATAAAAAGTCTCGTAAGAAATATCCACTTCTCTATAGAAAGGCTAAAAGTGAGGAAATAAATTAGTGTCCATTAAACCCCGACCGGTATTGGAATGTGATGTCATGTAATTACAGTGATAGTCGTCTAAATGAACAATTGTCTGCCTATGCCGCAATTAATGAAATAATCCGCATTCTTCGTTGAAATTAGGGTTTTTGTCAGTATTTTATGTCAAATAGTTGAAAGGGTTTTAAATGTATTCGATTTTTAAGCGCGCTAAGTTCCAGTGGATAAGTGCGCTTCAGTTTTAAGTTTAAGTTTTATTATTAATTACAAAAGTCTGGCCGTAACGTCGACTTACATTTGAATAACAATATACTTAAGAATAAAACTTTAATACAAAAATATGACAAATAATTGAAAGATGTTTATATAAGAATTTATATGAAACAAAATGATACATAAACAGATATCTGAGTATGAAAACCAAAGGTTACCGACACAATTTTTTTTAAATTTTTTTATAGTAGTAGGCAAATGGGCAGGAGGCTCACCTGACATTGCCAGCGGGCGTTGCCGGCCTTTAACTTTTTATATGATTGCAAACCGAAGCTAAATTTTTTTAGTTTATTTCAAGTTTACGCTCCTTAAAGTATGTCTTTGTGGTTTTAAATAAAAGAAGATATAGAACCTCTTTAAGTCGAACCTCGCATAAGTCAAAAACCTCCAAAACTCGAAAAAATGTTTTGTTCCCTTCCTTTAAAACACCAAAACCTCCATTACTTGAAATCTTGACCCTCTGTTAATCGAAATAATTACCGAGTCCCTCCAGCCACTTTGGTACATATTTTCACTCTATAACTCGAAAAATTAAATTTGACCTCTGTATCTCGAACATAGGACGTTTTATTTTACAACCTTTCAACTTGATCATTAATTGAATTTATTATCTCTATTGTTCGAAAAAAAAAATTGTTCGAAAAAAAAATCCTACCGACTTTAAGAACTTGCCGACAATGTGAGTACACTATTGTTTTTAAAAAACATTTTAGAAGTATAAATAAATTTATGACTCATGGAAACACGTGCTTTGTGTCAGGTGTTCAATTTTGATTCCCTTGGAAATTTAGCTAAGCCAGTCATTTGTTTTCGACGTTAAATACTGTCAGAAGTAGTTTGGTCTCAAACTCTTTATGTCGAATCAAAATCCCCCCTAAGTCGATCCTCCATAGTTGAAAACTCTATAACTCGATTTTTGGCGTCTCCCTTGATGTTCGACTTATAGAGGTTCTACTGTATTATATTTATATCGTAGTCGTCATAAATATCCGTTTTTTAAAACATCGTTTGACATGACTTTTTCATAAGCATGACGCTAACATAGAAAATTTACTACTATCGATATCTTCACTCACTTTATCTTTCCATGTATTCCCAGCACTTAGATTTCCTAAGAGTATCGAGTAACATTTCCAAAGGCCGCCTAGTCTTAACCTTAATTATCGGAAAAGAGGTCGCAACGTCACACGCAAGCCGCTTTTAATTGCATTACTCATAAATTACAATCCCAGTGAGGGCAAGCTTTATAATAATAATTAGGTTAAGCTTCTGTCTATGACTTTGTTTGAAGCATCAAGAGGAAAATGTATATTTCCTTTATTAAGAATTTTAGAGCAGTGTGGGGCTAGTGGTTTAAGCGAGCGACTTCTGGTTCTGCGTTTGAATGCAGAAATTAATTTTTCATTGTAATTGCTCATTTATTATTTTAAATGCGTGCTCGAGAACAACGCGAGTTAACCGCCATACCTTAGATGCATAAATAGACAATTTTGTATTAAAAGTAGCATCAATTCTATAATCGATAATAATTTTTATATAAATATTTAAAGTCAAATTATATTTTGTATTTACAATCTTTTTATCGATCATTTTGACAACAAAAGTTATCATGACATTTCGAGGCTAGAGTTAGTTAATTCTCCATCATAAGTTTTGCGTCCAAAGCATTTTTTTTTAAATGAACATAAAATTGTTTGCCTGGAAGAGATCGCTCGAAAGCGATAAGACCGCCAGTTGTCCTCCTTTTCATTCAATTATGTCAACTGTATTATATACTATATGCAACGAAGTTTTTATATATAAATAATAAATAAAATGGTAACCCTTTTTCTTCGAGCGTTTAAAATCTATCAATTGACGAACCAGCCAAAAAACTAGTATTTAATATTACTATGAAACCAATATAATAAATAAACTGATTAAAACCAATTTTTAGTGATATTCTTTCTTTGAACATGAACCATTATATTTAGTATGAAAGCCTTATACGATATAATAGATACTATAGATGTTATATACCTACATGTATACAATAAAAACAAGAAAACAATATACAATGTAGACGCTGCATTGCATCTTGCACTAGAAAATAAAACTTGTCACTATTTCAAGTCCCAGATGTGTCGATAACCGCGGAACAATGGTATTTTATTGGGAAATATGTCACGCGGTTCCCACATTCGAGGAATTCTTATAAGCCAAGAGACAAATTCGATCAAACTAATAAAATTTTATACGTAAAGATACATTTCTTTCATTTGTATTTGACGACGTGAAGAATTCGTTTTCCCAATAAAAATAGGTGATGCTCGCGACTTTGCATGCAAGCCACACGGTAGGAACATCTTACCGAGATAAAAATATTAGTTGTTGGTTGCTGTTGACATTGAAATATGCTATTTTGATAATAACCTATCATTGTCTGCGATTCGTATTTATTTTTACGTTACAAACATGAAAGATTTCAAATTTTGTATTATTGTATAAAAAAACAAAAATTACTGGCCTTATTTTGCAATATTATTTTTAATATAAAAAACCTACTGTGTTCCTACTAGTAATCATCATTGATTAATATAAATTATATTTATTTCCAAAATATAGTCTTTTGTTATTACAAAGTCACGTTTTGTTGTGAATTGGTGAGTAATGGAAATCAATGGTGCTATGAGAGGTAAAAATGTTATAAAGCGCCAAAATTCACGTTTAGGCTAACGTTATTATGATATTTTACGTATCTATACTACAATGGCAGTATAGCAGTGAAAGCATATAGATTGATGTGTATTAATTAATTAATTAAATTTATTATGTATAAAATTGGTCGCACCAAACAGGGACCAAAACATTTTTTATAAGTGCTAATTAATTTATCCTATCTTAACTCTAAATAACAATAACCACAGCAATAGTCCCTTATCTAAAATCAATTATTTATATAAAAATGTGTCTAATTATTTTAATTAGTTGGTAGAAAAATTATTAACAAATTACTAAGAGATAATTATTATCATTAAGAAAGTATCTAATAATTGCCAAAGACATTCAGTCCCTGTTAACTTCCTTACATGATGTTATAAAACGAATCCACTTCTGTTGTCATGAATGCCATAAACTCAAAAAAAACTCTATGGATTTCACCAATGCATAAATTTATTCCTGAGTAAGGTGTAATCGTATTCATTATGGTTTTATTTAAATTAACTGACACAAAAAATATAGAGAGGCCGCAGAAATGTTTATTAAATTACACGAAATTCGCGCTTGCGAAGCTAGTTAAGTAATAATGCAATTATAATCCATCCTTTTTACTGCTAATATTAAGTTTTTCAAACTCGTAAAAACTTTAATACTCATTTTCAGTACGCACCAAGAGACTAATTGGATTAAATTCTCTTTTCAAGTTCTTTCCAAGAAATAAGAACAGAAATTTCACTTAGAGCATCTTTGAAAACAACCTTAATATATGTTAATTTTTTTCTTTTTCGTGAACTGGTATAATCTCTATGGATTATTTAACTAGATTTAATTGATAATTCTGAAAGTGTGTACCTTATACAATTTATGTTTACGAATTCACAATAGCTAAAATCATTTAGAATGTTAATCATTCCCAGAACATGACCAGTACATGTAAAGATCGAGAGTCCTTTCCTTTGTTTTTGCTGTGTTCTATTAGAATTATAGACTCTATATTACTTTGTACCAAAGCAAAGCCTAAATTTAAAGTTCTCTAATAGGGCGTATTATATGTTAGGTGAGATATGAAACTTATATATATCTACTGTTCCTAGTAGTACATGAAGACAGTAATGAGGGTTACTAATATCATAAACTAAGGCTATATTAATTTACAGATTACCGCGCGTATCTTGAGTCGTCTATTATACCATAGATAATAGACAACCATTAATTTTGACAATTTCACACTCCACAGACTATCTATCAAACAATACGCCTTAAGCTACTACATAATTAATATAATTCGCCTTCACAATTAATAGGTAGAACAATTTAAAAACACCATGGGAATATGACACCAATAATCATCACAACGTCTATGTAATATTATGTGTACTTTAAAATGTACAGATTATACTGCGATCACGTAATACATCCCAGTTGACCGCGTGCAACAGATAAACAAAGTTTGAACAGGACTTGTAAGTTATAATAACATTGGACTTGTTTCCATGCAAACAACAAACTTGATCCTCTTAAATTGCTTTGTATTTGATGCATTATAAAACTAGTGGTTTATAGTACCTATCACAGAAGCGACAAGAAGGTTATCAAGTGTTGTTATCGATGCACACTTCCTCGAGAAGGTGAGCTTGGGCCGTTTGGGGCATTTACCCCCTTCGGATGGTGTTTCCGTGTTCGCGCTGCTGTTACAGAGCGGTACGGGGGCGGACTCAATAGCCTCAATATAATAGTGGGGCTGCAGCGCGCGATGAGACATGGGCTTTACTCGCTGTGGGCAGCCATGTTTAGGTTTATATATCATAGTTGACAGTTTTTATCTCATAAAAACGATTTTTTTATCTATACTAATGTTTTAAAGTTAAAAAATTTGGTGAGACGTATAATTAAAACCACTAGTTCGAATTTAAATAATTGTGTTTAGTAGTCCATCCATAAAGACTAAGAATCAGTATCGTTTAAACTGGACACAGCTAGTGATTAATTTTACGAAAATAATATGTACTTAAACAGATACAATTTTTTTTAATTTTGTGGTACTAATTCCTTTTTTTATTTTTAAAGACTTTTCAATCATCGATCATATTTATCTTCTCTTTGAGATTAATTATAGCTGAAGAATACTTAAAAATCAAATATTTTCAGGAAATATAAGACGACAAGCTCACTGTAGATTAAAAAAAATACATGATCTTATTTTTATAAATGGTTCCTAAAAAATCACAAAAAGAAACCAGTGAGGTCATGCGTTTCACACAGCAATGTCAAAACTAAGTTTGACAAGTAGTTAGCTGCTTGTTATTTACTAATTATGCGGAAAAGTGGTTGGCTTAAGGCCAGACGGCTGAATGCCAATATAGAACCTGTTGATTACTCCATATGGTCGAAAATTTGCTTTTAAACACCATTTCTTTTAATGGAAAAGATTTTTGCCAAAACGGAACATTGTATGAAAATGTAAAAGACATCTATCAACGACGAATATATAAGTATGTTAATTCAATTCACATTATAGCTATAAAAAGAGTTTATAATATAACGATTAACGTTAATAAAGGTTTAGAAAGTATTGTATTTCATGTGCCTTTTATGTTAGTTTGTTTATTATTATACTTTTTTATTTAAGAATTGTAAAATATTTATAATAAAAAATCCAAACAATAGCTGGAAGCTATTTCTTAAAACCAGACCCCCCCTCTGTTTTAAGTGTTTTAATTGTACTAGGCATATGAATAGCTAAATATATTTAACAATGTCTAAGTAATATCGATAAATATAGGGTCAACATGATACTCTACAGTCTACATGTTGTAAAACAAAAGTTGTGCCGGTAGCCGAGTCGCACCCAGAACCAAACTGGAGAACTCAACAAAGCAATATTTTATATAAAAACATATTTCCAATGAATAAAGCTTAAAACTCATTCCTTTTAGGGCACTGACAGGCTGCCAAATCGTCCGTAACATCGTTTAAAAGACAAAAGGCTAACGATTTGTTTTGAACAAAAAATATGCTAAAAAGCTGCTGTCACCTTTCACGTTTATTTGATATGGTTCACGAAATTAAAGAGCTTTTATTTTATATTTGCTTTTTCAAATTAATAAAGGATTAAAGAATATTTTTACTATTTTATTAAATATTAAAAGATACTTTAGATGTATATTATATACATTTATTGTAAAGGAAATATGTATTTATAGGGAGACAGTAAAAATATTTCCATCAGAAGGACGATCAAAAGTCAATAACAACAATATCTGCATTGTACAAGAAACTTTCAGATAATATGAATATTTGTCGAGCAATACTCGAACTTATAATTCTTATATATATAAATTACGCGTCACGTTGTTTGTCCACTATGGACTTCTAAACTACTTAACCGATTCCAATCAAATTAGCACACCGTGTGCAGTTTAATCTAACTTAAAAGATAGGATAGCTTATATCTTAATTTAAACCTGCAATATTATTTTATTGCAATTTATTTGTTTATTATTTGACACATTCTAACGGAAGGCGCTGCGTTGAAAGTACCAACGTTTCACATAAGCTATAATTTAATGGCATATCTACCAAAAAAGCGTGGTGGTCCCCATGACTTGTGTTCTCCTACCGTTTCCCTTGAATAGTTCACTACTATGTGAAATTACAAAACCTTAGCCACAGCAATGCTTGGCCGGTCTGCTAGTATATTATATAAAATAACTTACCTGAACATGGTAAGGCGCAACTTTCTCCTCTCCTTTGATCTCAACATTGATGTGAAGTCTGATAGCTCCAGATACCGCTGACTTGTCTGTTCTCTTCTCTAAGTTGTACCAGACGTCCATTTCACCCGACAGAGTTCGAACCTAGAAAATAATACATTCTGTATTATAAAAATGGAGTTAGTTTTTCAATTGCCGAGTCGTGAAAATGATTTCGCGTTCTATAATAATAAGAAATATTAGTTTTTAAAATATTTATAGGTAGGTATATTTTTATAAAACAGCTGTTGATGCTTTAGTCCGAAGTATTTAGGTATACATTTTACATCCAACCTACATATAGAGGGAATTCGCTATTTTATGTTTCCGTTAACTAACAGAAAAAAAATAATGTTAATTCTAGTATACTGAGTAAATGGGTTTTATGTATATAGTTTTATAGCTTGTTGTGTAATAATATCGAATTATTATAGTAAACATCCAACTTCTTCAATCAAAGAAAATGTATATACGTCTTATTCAAAGAATAACTTTTTAATTTTTCATTGCAATTTCTGTACTCAATAGATCGCATTTCCATTGATGAAATTAAATATCTTCAAGTTGCAGTCGCAAAGGAATTGTTCGAGTTTAAAAGTCGAAGTATACTGCATTCACAGCGGGAAATAAGAGCAAGTGAATGTAAATAATTTAAAGCTGTCTAGAGAAATGTCAAAGCGGAAGTAATTGTGTCTATATACGGAAGTATAATTTAAAATAAAATCAGAAGTGTTGCTCTAATGGTATCAGCGTGCGACTTTCATCTCTGAGGACGTAGGTACGATCCCCGTCTGTACACGAATCGACTTTGTGTCTATGTGCGCTATCTAAAACTGATACGGTGAAGGAAAATGCGAAAACCGGCATATATCAAATCCAAAAGACATGTGTCAGACAGAATGCTGATTACTTGTTTATGAAAAAAAAATATCAAAGAAAGTGATGCAATCTGCGCGGTACTGGATCATTATAATAAGAAATACAATTTTATAAAATTTAAATGCATTTGATAATTATTTAAGATTATAAAATTATGGATTTCTTATTTTCCAAAACTGCACATTCCGTGAAAATAGGAACATTTATTCGATTCAAACTTTAATTAAACGCAGATACGTTATTTTTTTGTACAAAACGTGTATGAAAAAATATATTTTTACTACTTTTACTGAATAGATACATTTTTTGACTGACCAATTACAGTGTGTTTTCTTGAGTTAAGCCGAAGAACAGTTGTCTAAAAGATATCGCTTTAAAAGGTAATTTTATAGATATATACAATGAGATAAATTATAATAAACTACCAAACAGGTTTTAGTCCAGAGCTGGTAGCTAGTCTACACTCCAGCATACTTAAACCAATTTTTTAAATATATTTTGTACGTAAATATAGGCCATGCTCATCATTCTAATGTTGCAATAATTTTTCTTTTCCTATATACAATGTTTGTATAGGTTAGTTTAATAAATTATTTAAAAAATACTTTAATAAATTATATTAATCAGTGAACCAAGCCTAGTACTAGTAACAGTAACACATTTCGATTTCTTTGCAAAATTTAAAAGTATAGTGTTTTATATTTCGGTTCGGTTATCCTATACATTTCAATTTGAGTTTAATTAGCAATCAAAAAAATTAGCATAGCAATTTACCTCAATAATTGTCTGTCCAAGGAAGTCATCCGATTCTCTCGTTAATTTCTGACGAAGTTTTGATTTCAAGTCATTGTCCTCATCCCAAACGCGGACTTTGATACGATCGGATGAATTGTGGCACTCGCTGTTTAAAAATTAAATATTTCATTATCTAAAATAAATCTTGACATATAAGGTATAAATCATGTAGATATTTTTTAGATTTTTATAGATTTAGATTTTTTAAATTATATACAGTCAAATTTATTATTGGACTGGTCCAAACAGATTTGACACTAAACAAATTGTTAATAGTGTGACAAACTACGAGTATACCCATTATTTCAATGTGATTACTAATTTATATAATTACTAGCTGACCCGGCAAACGTTGTTTTGCCATGTATATTATTTCTAGGAAACATTATTTGGTTCAATAAAAATAACTATCTACTATAATAAAAAATAGGGGTTGATCGTAGAGGGTTATAAATTAGGGGGTGTACCTATGTATTTTTGTATGCTGTATAATAAAAAAATAAAAACAAAAACAATTGTCCAAAAAATAAAAAATAAATATTTTGGGGTGGACACCCCTTATCACTTAGGGGTATGAAAAATAGATAGTAGCCGATTCTCAAACCTACTGAATATGCATATAAAATTTGATAAAAATCGGTCAAGCCGTTTCGGAGAAGTATGGTAACTAACATAGTGACACGAGAATTTTATATATAAGACTAGCTGACCCGGCAAACGTTGTTTTGCCATGTATATTATTTCTAGGAAATATTTTTTAGTTCAATAAAAATATCTATCTACTATAATAAAAAATAGAGGTAGATCGTAGAGGGGTGAAAATTCAGAGTTGTATGTATTTTTTAATGCCTCAATAAAAAAAATGTTATCCAAAAAGTAAAAATAAAAATTTGGGGTGGACACACCCCTTGATAGTAGCCGATTCTCAGACATACTTATTATGCATAAAAATTTCATAAGAATTGGCCGAGCCGTTTCGGAGGAGTATGGGAACGAACATTGTGACACTAGAACTTTATATATTAGATAGCTGGGGCATATAATAAATCTAAATTTGCTGTTACTCGTTTTAATTATGTATGTATTAAATGTTTTTATAAAGAATAAATGTTTATGGAAGAAATTATTTTTATAAAGAATAAATGTTTATGGAAGTAGTATAAGTCAACATAGAAAGTTTTGTTTAAAAAAAAATTAGGTGAGTGGCAATACTCACAAATAAAACTTCTCATTCCAAACAGGATTTAGCTCCTGCGGCATTGTTCGGGTTCTTTTCTTGACCTTGCTGACCTGGACGGTAACGTAGGGGTCGGAGGTGCCGCTCTTGTCCTTAGCGATCAGGCCTTGGGCACAAATAACTGCCCATAAAGGGCACCTTTAATAACTTTGAAGCTTCTCATAAATTTAATATAATATTACGTAGTAAGCAGTCTTAGCTTTTTAAATATTCGACTTTATATACGATGGAGTTACATGTTCTCTTGCCTTAGCTGAAATTACTAAAAGCTAATCGCAACTTAAGTATTTTACACAGCAAGTTATTACTTTATCATTAACACAACGTTTACATAATGATTACTTACCTGCCCCAAGCTTCCAATGTACCTCAAACGGGTGATCCCATGAAAGATGTGTCGGGGTAAAAGACTCTAACTTCAAATCTACCAAAAATTTCAACTAGATATGCCCAAACTCGAAATCTAAAACAACTTGAAACATAGCGACTACATTATCGCAAATGCAAATGGAACTTTGTCGAGAATATTTCATAAGGTATGCTTGGAAATGAGCTAATTTTGTGGGAATTTTCACGAATCCAGAAGTAGATAGAATAGAAGAAGAGCTGGAATTCAGACATGCGTAATGCTAAATAAATGCATTCACCTACTATTTATCGGTTATCATCGAGTTTATCTTAGATCTATTTAAATTCCTGCAATGTTATCTTCAAAATGCTTATTTATATTTGTGTTAAACATGCAGTCTGGAGTGTTTTCGTGTTCGCGTTTGTGTGGCAATTAAAAATTCGCTTGTGTGTACTCAAACCGTGTACATTTTTAAGAAAGGTGTTGATTCGTGGAATTTCCTCAAGTCATTGGCAGTTGAATAAGCTACGATTTATATAGGTGATGGGTGGTGCTATTATTCGTGAATGGATTGGGTAAGGTATGTGTTCAGTGTCTGCTCAAGTCTATATGTAATTCTAAAGTAAAGGATCGTTTACTTTCCAGTAACAAAAATTTTAAACTTGAGCAGACATAGGAGGTAAAGAGAAATCAGGCGAAGATTCAGACTAATAGATCAAACTTGCGAGCACGCGGTCCGCAGCCGCAAAAGACCACTGCAAACCTGTGATTGCGATTTTGCAGGACCACTTTGAAGTTCCTTCAATAGTAATTTGCTCAGCCTGTTCTAAGTTGTCTATGTGAGTGTCGGGATCGACGTTAAAAGTCCGCCTGGTCACCACATGAAACGAAAGACAGCGCAATTTAGTGTTGTGATTGTAATGTGTGTGTTCTGGTGCGTCGACGCCATCCCTGGTTCCGGATTCTGTTGGAAAAGAACGGGTTAGCCACGACACAACTCCCAACCTGTGATGGCGATCTTGGCGCTCCATTTTGATGTACCATCGAGGACGGACTGCTTCACCGTATTCATGTGCGTCGAGTGTCCATCTGGTTCCATGCTGAACACGCGTCTGTTACATACATATCCGTTTCAATAGCACGTTCTATACAAACTTCTAGAAGTACTAAAATTAAGCAAATTCTTAATTACAACTGTATTAAAATGTATTTCAAACCATAAATCTCTCCAATCTAAGCTGATCTATAGAATAGGGAATTAGTCATCTTTGCAAAAAGTAACAGAACATAACATAGAATCAAAAATGTTTTACCTGATGAGTTCAAAGATTTCAGGCATGTCTCTTTCCCGTTGCTTCATTCGTTCTTTCATGGCTGTTATGATAGAGTTTGCTTTGTCCTCGGCACCATGTTTGGAAGACTTCTCGGCCGCCCCTGCGAAACACACTGCTCAGGCGGTGCAAAGACAGTTCTTGATGCTGCGGGCTGCGCCAGGCAGGGGCTCCCCGCCCTGCAGTCAGGCCTGCCACGACCACTCATAGAACACAACCTAACCAGAATCCAACTTGGCAAACAAAAACAGAATTGAGGACTTACTGTCGGTTCTAGTTAAGTCATTATTCCTGAGCTGCGCCAGCCGAAGCAAACCTGAGCACGACGCCACCATCGAAATATTTCATAATTTTAAATTTTTTAAATATTAGACTCCGTTACATACCCTTGTTTTTCACTGTATTAGTTATGTCTGTCATGAACTTGTAATTTATATTAACTGCGCATTTCAGGCAGCCTTTTAAAATCGTTAAAAGAATGAGAATTTAAATTATTATAGAATAAAAGAAGAGATAGTCAAATAAAATTATAGACGCGAGAAAGAAAAACATTTAAACTAAGACCACATATAATGTTAAGTGGAGAGGTTGTGGATTGCGTGCACACAATGCTAACATTCAACTTGTTTAGTCCATTTTATTAGGGCACTGGTGTATTTGAAGCGTCTAGCCAATTCGGTTAAGAGTGTTTAACACAGTGGATTGTAAAGTAGGGTATTGAGAATTCGACTCCGTTCCAGGATTTTGTTAGGTTCGGCGTTGGGCGGGGCACCCGAAGGGAGAGGACCGGATCCCTATCTACATGATAAAGATCTACACTTCAAAAACATACATACCACAACACTACGATGAAGATTGTATACGTGTCATTGTCTAATGGTATGTATGAAGAAGAAGTGTGTATGTGGTGTAAAGTATTGATATAATGCCTTTAAAATGTAGACTATGACTATTATGATGACGTGCAGTCGACTAAGTTAAAAAAATCACATTATTCGTTACAACCGACTGCCCGCCTTAATGAATGTGCACAAATGATATTAAAATTACAATAGGGAATAATTTTGAAAATAGTGTAAACCGTATATCGATAGCCATGCACCGATGAAGCGAACACCGATTTTGATGGGTAACTCATGCTATTATATGAGGTCTGACACAAGAGAAAGGAAGAAATACAGTCAAATAAAACACAACATAAACATCAGCAAAAATTATTGAATAAGTCTTCCTGCCTCAAAAACATTATACAATGGACGATTTTATGACGACGTTTGATCGTTAAACACACTGCTCAACACACATGCAACCTTTGGCACATAGCACACATAAAGGCAGGAAATTATTATTCATTGGACAGAAAAAACACTGAGTAGAAGAAATGCCCAAAGGTGTGCAATATACCTTACCATGCACTCCATGAAACTACATCTCAGTTCCTTCACTACCCACCTTTAAATTCAGTTGGCTAATTGTTTTATCATAGCACATCAAGAACAACATCAAAAAGTACAGAACACAAGTAAAAATTTGAATATAGAACAATAAAACGAAGAATGACAATTTTCGTGTCACCAGTTCCCGTACTGAATAATAATGTATAGCTACATCGGTACAGACAATGTGACCTCTGTGAGAACAACTTGACACAACTTGAGTTTAATAAGGGAGAGCGCTTCGCAGCTCCCAACAAACATTATCTCCGTCAGTTTATTGGTTTTTTCTCTTCAAATATAATGACGTAACGATTGATCTTCGAAAAGTCGAAATGCGTAAAAAGGTTCTTTTTGGTATAAACAATTTACTTGAGACAACAAAATGTTTTTACATATTAATTTAGTATTAATTAATTAGATTATTTATTTTGTTTTATTATACTAAAGTACTTTTTAAATCTCGTAAATTTAGACTGAGAACTGAAATTAGAAGTGGTTTTAAAATTTTCAGTAGACAAAAACGAAACAGATTGTCGTGTCTTTTTCGGGGGTTGTTTTTTTTTTTTTTTTACCCTTTAAAATTTTTTCCGGGGGGGGGGCTCCCCCCCCCCCCCCCCCGGCGGGGGGGGGGGGGGGGGGGGGGGGGAAATTTTTTTTTTTTTTTTTTTTTTTTTTTTTTTTTTTTTTTTTTTTTTTTCTTCCTTTTTTTTTAATTTTTTTTAAAAACGAAACTTACTCTGTAGGCAGTCAGCGTTGAGGAGATCTTTACACTTTTCGTGACACTTGACACCGCATTCTGTACACCTGACACCTTGCCTTGCAATTCCCCAAAGTAGGCCCTCGCATTCATAGCAATACGTTGGTGATGTCGCCGTCCAAAGTACGAAATTGTGGGGTGTGGTTGAAGATATGGGGTAGATAAGTGCTTGTAAAGTTTTCTTATACACATGCATTTTCTGTAAAGAAATTGTTGACGTAATTAAGGAAAACTCAGTTTTAGGGGATACTCACTGTCCTTTATCCACTGTAAGTTATTCTTATTAGAATAATAAACGTTTTATTACTACCATTAGATACAGAGTTAGATTTTTTGATACAAAATTGTCGTAAGACAAAATAGTATTATTAATAATCTGCCAATAATATTTTACCTAAAAACTTACCACACAAAGATTTTCACGTATCATTATACCTCACCTCTCGAAAGGCTTTTAAGCGGTAACAGCCTTGTTTGCTTACTGAATACCAAAATGTTACCTGTTATAGTTACCCTCAAATCGGCATTCGCGCCTATTGTATACCATACAACAGATATTCCGAGATATGATATTTTATTTAAAATAAATTGCTTTAAGTAAATTTAAAAATGTTTTTTCAACAACATACAGCTAATATTATAACCCAGGTCAAGTGTTTGCAAATTCAGAGTACCTATGATATAATAAATATTAATATTGATAGAATATTAATTGTCTTACCAATTCTTCGTCATTCAGTGTTGCTCGATGCACAGCAGATGTCAACCCGGCATTTCTCTTAGTAGCAGCCATGGTCTGAGCAAGAAAATAATTTCAATAAAACAAATTCATAATGTATTTTTATTTCTACGCATGCCTAAAAGCTTTCCGTGTCTCTCATAATACGTTAAAATTTCAATAGATATTTATAAACCACTATAAAATGTGCTTAAAACGCATAAAAAATATTGTTATAATCTAAAATATGTTTACCTACAAGTAAAGCCTATGTGCATATATTTATGGAATTAATATTAATATAACGTCAATCCGTAGTCATGCATCATTGGGCAAAGCAAGCAAAAAACGTTGATGTTAAATAATAATAAATCGGCCGTATGTTGTTCGAAATTGATCATAAACGTGTTTAACAATGATTACATTCAAATTCTACAGCTGTATGCTTTACAACCTGCACATTGCATATACATTTTTTTACGTATAAAAATATTAGTATGTCTATTATAATTTACCAAGTTCTGTTGGTAGCATTAATATAACAGGTGTTACTATAATACTCAAAAGTAATACATTAATATACATAAGGAAGGCATCACGTGATTGGTTTTTTTCGTTAGTTTCTGTCATTATTATATAGCGAACCTGATTGAGTTCGATCGGGCAATTGCTTAAGAAAAAGCTTAATTGTTTCTACTAGACACGTCTGTGTCAGAAACAATTAAGCTTAAGATAATAAGGGATATAGGAACCAGACCATTTCATATGACCTATCGCTTTTATTAATTATGACTATAACAGTCTAACATCTATTAGATACAACATTAGGCCGATTTAACACTCTGCATATTTAAAGCTATTATTAGAACTGCATGCAGAAATAAGAAAGTTTATTGGGAGAGATATACCTTAAGAACCTGCGGGTCCACGGTTGGGGATAAAATGCAATATAACCATTAATTTAATCAGGAATATTCGTTATTCATATCTACAATTAGGTGACCTCTAAATTTCGATCCAGGTTATGATGATAGGCTCACTAAAACATTAATCAATACGGCCACCAAGGTTAGAAAGGAAAATCACATAAGAAATAACATTGATACACCAAAGAAAGTTTATAAACTAAAATTTAGGTTAATATTGAAAGAAGTATGGGAAATGTTTTTTAATGTGTTATTCTTTTTTACAAAGCAATAATCGTATAAAGTGAAATACGCCAGAACATAATCGTGTTTTATTAGTTAAGTAGAATAACGTTTAATTTCAAAAAATTTGTTCGTAACAAATTTTAAATATCGAATTTCTGTGGTTATTAAAAACGCTTACGAAAATCCCATAGCCCTTTCAAGGAACACACAAGTTGACTCCTGAAGAAAACATTTATTACGCGCCTAATGTTACTAAGCATGAGAAAGCTAACGTTGACGCGAGCCATATACATCAACAGTCAGTTTCAAATAAACCTTTGGAAAGTTTCAAAGGCTTAGTAAATTGAAACCGGCCAGATAGGACATAAACTAATTTCCTCGGGTCTCTTATCAAGATCAGAAAGGTTACTTACAAGTTCGGAAACGAGTGGTATGGATTTTCTTCTCGGTCTAATATCCGGCATACTATCAATGTTGCTGTAAAATGGATTATCTCCCGGGTGCCTAAAATACAGTATTATTATTAATGTATGTATATTGTTTTTATATATATAAAAATTGCGTCGTAGGAATGTCCAAAATAAACAGTAAATTTAATTAAGTAATAATTTATAGGAATAGTCTTGTTCAAAAATACTTTTGTTATTTAAAATGAAATATTTAGAAATAAACCTATGCTGTATGATGAATTGTAGTAGTTCTAGTTAAAACAACACAATTAAGTTAAAAATATCTTTTGAATGATACATAAAATATCTAATTGAAAAATCTATAGTTATGCTATGCAGCGTTTTTGAATTCAAGGTATATAACATTGCTTATTATATCAATTTAAATCTTTAGTATTTATGTTAGAAATCTACGTACCCATTGCCTCGTCCGCCTTGCTCGTTGAATCCACCGGTTCCATTCTATAAAAAAGCAAAAAAAAAAATTAATAAAAACAAAAAAAACTTAAACCTAACATTTATTTAAGAACAATAAAATAATATACAATAAATCACATGATAATTCTTATAATATCATTCAAATTGTTCTTATTTGTTTAATTAAATATTATAAGAACCAACACAATTACAAAACTTAGTAATAGTAACAATTGAAATGGAGAATTAATATCATAAAAACCTATAAAGATATCTAAAAAATACTATTGTCCTTTTACAATTGATTAAACAATGGTAGTATTGAAATTAACAAACTCATTGTAAATATTTTAATAGCCGTAGTATAGGATTCGGCGAACACCATATGGCAGAAGCGGGATTGTATACACTTAATCCCAATACATATCAACGTTAAGCTTTTATATCATATTTGCTACACAATTCATATCTTTAATAGCTGTACGTAACGCCTAATTTGCCTACCACAAGTGCCAACTAACAATTTACCAAAGTGTCGAGCTACGTAACATACTCACACTAATTTGTTTCCTCTACTCTAAATTACATAATTGTGACACTCATTTTATAACGATGAATTTGTGAACTTCGATGTTTTTGTAAATAGAGATTTTATTTTACGCAAAAATATATCTGAGGCCTGATTCGTAAATTTGATATGACATGATATGGTGATGAATTTGTACCACAAAATTATTTTCGATGCTTGACGCTCTTTAAATGAAGTTGAGAAAGCAAAAATGCTTAAACTACCGGCCTAGTTATATAATTTTGTTTGAATTTTGTCGACATGAACAAGTGAAGTCAAAAAAATGCTAATTTGCTAAGGCAGACATAAATTATTGTAGCAGTAGAACTAGTTATTGCCTCATATTAGAAACAGTAATTTTGTTAATATGCCACTTAAACTATTTAGTATTCATAAGAGCACCTATCTTCTAAGTAAATAGTATTTTATAAGTACTGTAAAATGAACTTCATTAGTATTGTATAGCTGAAGTATCAACTGCGTATAAAAGTGTTGTCAAAGAAGAGTATACTCAAAGATGTATGTATATAAAGTTGGAATGAGACATAAATATTCACAACCTCAGTATTTTAAGCATCTTTTTCTAACAGGTAATATAAACCAGACGAAAAGAGAGAGAGAGAACGTCAACTGTGCTCATACACTTTAAGCTTTAGTATGGAATTAATACTGGTAAATACCAACTATCACTTAACAATACTATAATATAATATTCCAATATTATTAAAAATTAATATTTTCAGGTAACGGTATTTTAAAATACGTGTCAAGCCATAATATCTCGATTACATTTTTACATATCTAACTTTTAACTCTAATTTCGTGAAATTTTTGCATTAAGTAACTTACACCTGCGCTAACTTTGTCCTTTTCTGTTGATGGTGTGGTAGCAACCGGTGTCTCTGTAGTTTTTTCTTCAGCTTTTTTGTCTTTCAGAGCCTTTAGCAACTTCCATTTGCTTCCAGCAGGAGCATCTTGATGAGGTGGTTGTTCAACACCCATAGGTTCTTGTCGCATTTGAGGCATTTCGTCATCTTCTTCAAACTCGTCGCCACTTTGAACTGGACTATCAGGCCCAGATGTTTCTCCGGAGCCAGAATCGGCATACGATTTTTCATCATCCGAATATTTTTGAGAAATAGCGTCTTCAATTTTTTCTTCCATATCAGGAAATGTTGTAATGTCTTTCCATGTCTCTTCCGTTTTTGCTTCGTCATATTTGACTTTAATAGGAGCTGTTTTAAGTTTCAACTCCCGTAAAACATAAGACATCCTTTCTTTTAATATATCATTGGGTTCTTCCTCTAATGTTTCAGGTTCTTCTAGTAGTAAATGTTCTCTTTCTATATCTTGGCCTGAATGCTCCATTTCTTCTAGCTTCCGGAGCTCGTAACGGTACCATTCGTCTTCGGAATCAATACTATCTTCAGTACTTTGCCTCCTTGACGATACCCTTGACCCACTTCTCCAGGAATGTGTACTTCGACTGTCATCATCGTCGTGTTTATTAGGAATATCAAGACTTTGTTGATGTCGTGGATGAAATTTATTTTGCATGCCTCTGTTACTTTGTAAAGAGGGACTTCTTTCTGGATACACAAAGCCCTCGTCAGCACGTCCTGTATTGTTTTTTACTACTTCAGGCGGGCTTAATTTATTTTGTTTTTTATCGTTGTATTTATCTGAGTCGTCTATTATGTCCTCAGGAAAATTAGTTTCAATTTTTGGTGGAGAAGTTTCTGAAGTATCATCGGTAATAGACGATGATTTACGTAAACGGTATTTGCCTAGAGCACGAGAAACTGCAAACTCTTGTGAACTTCCACTGTATGATTTGTTATTATCACTATGCGAGTCTTCTGATGTGATTGAAGACTTTTTCATATCACCTACAGTTGCGAATATGGCAGCAGGTGAATCGTTATCTTCTTTTTCATCTTCGAATGGGTCGACGTTTGAAATATCAGTATCAATATCCAGTTTTTCCAAGTCTTGAATGTTATTTTTATTCATTTGACTAACTCTAGCAAAGTGAAAGTCAATATCGTCACTTTTATCTCGTGGTATCCCGTTCGATGTTGAAGGGTAACGTTCATGTTCTTCTAATATACATTCGTCATCAGCATCTCCTTGCAATTCAGCTCGTTGCTGCTGTAATTCTTGAATCATTTGCTGTTGTTCTATTTTTTCTTGACTGTTTATTTTTCGTTGCTTTTGTTTAACTGGAACCTTTGAAAACATATTATTTTCATGAATTGAATCAGAAAACACACTATCGCTGTCTTCTGACTGAGCACTAGATCGACCACCAGACCATTCTGTTTCAGAAGTCTCTGGGTCTGATAAAGATTGATGACTAGCTTGTTGTTTTCTCCTTGCCTTTTGCAATAAACCTGACATAGAGGCTACTAAATGGTATTTTTTCTTTCTTCTTTGTGCTGACAATAGCCTCTCTTTCAAAGTTTTTTCTTGTTGCTCCTGATCAACAGAATCTACACCAGATGGAAGGGAATGTGACCTATGCTTTTTAGGTAAATGCAAATCTGGCAACCACTGACTCATCGAAGTCATTGCAGATTTTAAAGATGAAGTTCGTTTAGGCTTTTTACTTTGCCTATCTTGGGCCTTCATTTTTAAGTTCGAAGAAATAGATAAATAGCCTGACTCTGAAACTAAAATACCACTAGAATCCATGGTATACTGATCTTTTCGAATTTTTTGGTCTGAACCTAATTTTTCATGACTCTGTATGTCGGTTGTAATGTTCCCGTTACGTTGGTCATACTGTTGTTGTTTAAAGTACTCTTGTTGTAATTGATTTTGAAATTGCTTTCGTTCCGTTATGCTGAGAGAGTGTGATTTTAAGCTTAGTGTTTCTACTGAGCTCGTTGGTGATCGACTTCCACCTTGCCAAGACATACGTTCTTCTAACGGTGTACGTTTTGGTGAGTCATACCTACTAGATGTAGGATAGTATGATAATGCGTCGTTAAGGTTTCCAGGAGGATATCCCGTACGAGACACTTTATATCCATTTTGAAAACTGCTATCAGATCCGGTCATCGTATTTGTTCGAGTCAAGGATTTCTTGTTAAGATTATTTCCAGACATAACTACTGTTTGTGCATGATAACTAGGTTCAGGAGGATATGGATCTATTGCCTGTTTTATATCTGATTCTAAAATTTGATTTCTATCTATTAACTCGGAAAAACTTCTATCTTCAGTAAGCATTCCTCTCGGTGTGCTATACACAGTAGTAAAAATTGGTTGTCTATTTCCAGCTACCGAGTATATGGATGGTGCATCATGACCGTAATAATACTCTCCTATATTACTAAGTGTAGTTTGACTCGGTACAGGAAAATTACTGTCATTTTTTATAAACATGTTACCGACATTATCATGTAACTTATTAAGATCAATTATATTTTTTTCATCCTTAGGATTATCAGGCTTATGTGAAATATATTCCTTTTGGTATTGTTTATCTTCATATAGATATGAATCTACCAAGGTTTCTAAATATGGTTTTGCATCTTCATAAGAATTTCTTTGAATTGATTGTGGTGATTGAACTCTTATTTTATGACCGTCTTGAATATGTGACACTCGGCCAGTTTTCGGAGAGCCTGGACTTTTTTCTAAACTCGACCATCCACTCATAGATGATAATCCAGAATCTGACTTAGCTGTTACAATGTTAGTGTTATCTCTTTTCAAATTCTTCGGTGATGTTTTTGGAGATTTAGGTGACCTAGGACTTAATCTCATATTTTCTGCTTGCATAGTTGTAAGGCCTGTCGAAAGTAAATTTTGATGCCTTGCTAATGTTTCATTATTATTTTCGATAGGCCTAAATATATCAGCTCCATTTGGTGGTGCTGGAGGTGGAGGACTGGGAGATTTACGCAGTTCACCAAAAGTCAAATCAAGTCGGTTATCCACGCCTCCATCATATAAATCATGTATCGATGTTGGTGAGTGTTGTTCTTTGCTTTGTTTATAAGAGTCAGTAAATGCTTGTTGAGTGATCTTAGAAGAAAAGTAATTTTGCCCAGTATGATCGCTAACTTGATAATCCGAGCCATAATCAAATCTGTCTTTTGATAATGCACTGGGAGATTTAGAAGCTTTAGCCGCATTTATCTCGGCATTTGCTACAGCAGAACTATAAGCTAAACGACCTGTTACTGTGGTATAAGGTTCAGTAGAAGTCCTTTCTGGTACAAATTTCCGGCGTGGAGAAAGTGAATTGGGTAAATAGTCCACGGTTCTATCTCCAACTGTGCTTTCAGTTAGTGACAATCTAGATGGTGATTTATCTGTAAGTAAATTATCCTTTGGTGTAGTAAGCATAAATTCATCAAAACTTTTCATCATATCATTCAAGGCCCAATTATCACCGCCTATATAAACGCCCTTTAACTGTTCATTAATTATATTTCCATCTTCCACAAGTGCTTTTGCTTCTATATCTCTGTCATGTTTTGCTGTGATCTTAATTTCTGGACTAAGAAGTCTAGCTTTTAAGTCTTTTAACTCTCTTGAATCTTTGTGTAATTGCGTAGTCAGCCTATCTAATTCATGCAATTTATCTACAGTTATTTGTTCTATTGTACCTAATGTAGACATATGGACTAAATCTCTTTCACTTATACCAGGCCCACTTTGTATACCCCGATAATGTTTATAATCTTTTGCACTATATATTTGACCAGCAGATGCTATATCTAATTCAGGCTCCTCAGGTGCTTCCCAAATCATGTCTAGCTGTGACGTAGGTCTTGATGTTTCTTCATAAACGTAATCGTCCCTATAAGCTTGGTTTAAACTTCTATAAAAAGCTTCGTCCGATTCCATTACTTCTTCTTGCTGATCTAATAGAACAGCATTTCGACTGGCTATATCTAGTCCCTCTTCTATACCATCTTCCACAGTCCCATTTCCGAGTATTTCCCTTATCACTTCAAGTCTAGAAAGAGGATCTCGAGATACACTTCGACATGTATAAAAATCTAGAAGAGTTGATATAACACCCTGTTGATCTGCGAGCAAAGACTCGAGTCTTTCTAATCGATCCCACATTCTTACATATTCTTGGCTGAGGAGATCTAAGGCTCTCCACGCGTACTTGAGCTCAGTTTCCAGAATATTAAGACGAGTACCGAGCCTCTCCATATAGTCACTGATAATGTAGTCGCCTGAATAGGGGGGCAGGTCAGGAGGTAGGGAGAGGGAGCCGCAATCGTCCATATCGGCCGCGGCACCCCCACTCCCTCCTCCCTCGTTTTCCTCCATCACGCCGCTTGCGCCTGCCCCAACATTGTCGAGAATTTCGTGCATCATCTTGTGATCGAAGAGTGAGCTGGCCACATCCTTCACTATGAGTCATCCCATATCTTACACTTAACACTTTGCACACAAAAAAATCCTATGCCGCGAACAGTTTTCATTGAAAACATTTTAACACTTCACTTTCAGTGCATTTTGTCCACTTTATAGTTTAGATTGAAAAAAATAATATATTTTTTAACACTGCATATACTTTGTACTTCGACGGAATTGTTAATTATTATTTTGAATTAATATTATTGCACTTCTGTAAGGATATAATTGGTTAGTCTTGAAACAACATCACTAGTTTGCACATAATGAGGGTTATGCACACACTAGTGGGGAGTTCTAAAACCTCAGGAAGACACATCAACAACACAAAATTCAATTAAATTATTAGTATCGATAGGTTATGGACAATTCTTTTGTGTGTTTTACGTTTATGTGTCTTTGTCGGAGGCAGCTAAACGGTTCGATTAAGATTCCACATGAGAAAATCTCAGTGGTGGAAAGCACGCCTAGCATAAAAGGATAGAAGGGATAAGGAATGCCAGGTCATGCTACCGTTTCGCTATATTAGGATAAGGATGTATATTGTATACTTCATACATATTTATAGACAAATATATTCTTTGAACCTATTGTTATTAAAGCAAATAGACGTCATAGCAAATAAATACAGTAACGGATATAGAGTATTTGGAATGGTAATTTCTGATTGAAATGCTTGGAAACCCGCCAAAGCCTGCCAAAAGTTTAGTTTAACACTAATTGGATTTGTAGGCCATACTCAATAAAAGACGATTCAAAGACTTTTATGCGACATATCAATGAATTGGTTATTATTTATAACCTCATACTGTTTACATGCTTTCTATTTCATATTATAATTCCAAATTTGAAATTGATTCATTTTACTACATTCATCAATAAGAGCCAATCACTGTGACAAGTCGTGAAAGCGCGCGCCAAGTTTGGCCACACCGCAACGCGCGAACAAATGGTCCAAAGATTATTACGCTAGAGCGGCAGTGAAAAGAGAAATGCACTTGGCAATTGTTCAAATATGGGGCCAGATGTTGCACTCCGAAGCCGACATGTTTCATAATAAGTTGCGGTTAATGAACCCGCTCGGTTTGACGCGACGTCTCTTAAGAACATGTTAGAAATATTTTTGTACGAGTAAACAAGGGTTGTGTTATTGCATTGGTATAGATAAAACTAGCGCTGAATATTAAAGTAAAAATATATATTTTTTACGCTTCATGCGCCCCTAACCATATGAAATAACAAAATTAAGAAATTTGATTTGAATTCCATTTTAAAATTTAACTTATTTGTGACCACAAAAAATCTTTGCTTGTAGATTGTTGTATAAGCTTATTCGTGACAAATTGTAATCATGATTTAACACGCACACTACTCGCGTTAAACATAAATATTAAGTAACTATTTATATGCTTAGCGCGTTAATGAAGGAATTAATATTAATGTTTTTATTTTGTTTATAAAATAACTAGTTATTTAGTAAATAAACGTGGGATTGTTTTCTTAAAACATAATTTTATTAAACAATTTCGTTGTTTTTCTCATTAGATATTATACTATCTATGATTTGCTAAATACTATAATAACTGTTGAAAATCTAAAACATTCAAAGAAAATTCGTTAGGAAATGTGAAAACACTTTTAAAATCTATATGAAAATGTAGTTATCAAAGTACTCGATAATAAGATCAATAACGCAGCATTACGTTATAATACATGCTACGTTATCAAGCGTGAATGTCGTAGCAATTTCGTAGTACTTCGTAGTGTTGACACGCAGTCATGTTAGCTTTACTCTTTAGCCTACACTTCAGTGCCCCCTGATATAAAATAACGCTAAATATTTAGATATAACCTGAAGCTCATACTTTGAATTTTTTTTCTAATATTATGAATCCTTAGTCATTCATGTAAAACACGTAGTCAGTGAATATCAAGTCTATATGATAATAACACTTTTCGATAAATTAACTTTACACATGTCGCGTAAAGAAATATGAATAAAAATGTAAATATTCATTTCTGTTTACAATTTTTTTTTTCTTTAAAGAAGTTCACGAAGTATTGTCTTTGATTTACATAACCTTTACACATTTAAAGAAAAAACTGTTTGACCGGATTGAAGTTATGTATTATTATAAATTTAAATATATAATTTAAACCGTCACCGTACCTACCACCACCGAAACGTCGGATAAATTTAAAATTATGTTAAATAGTTGTAAATTTATAATAATACATAACTTCAATCCGGTCAAACAGTTTTTTCTTTAGAAGTTCACGAACTTAATTTTTTTTAAATCTACCTTGGGTCTGTCTTTTAATATTTTTTTTAAGATTTTATTGTGCATGCCTTATATTGACTTTTAAACTTCAACATGTCAACATTACGTATACATTGGAAAAGGACTTGAAGTAATAATATAAAGTAAATTATTTTAAAAGCCGTATACGAATTCAGCATTAAAATGACCTTTCGCTTTATTAATTAAAGTAAGAGATACTATCAGTAAGACTGTTAGGCTAATATCCAAAGCTAATCCAATTAACAATCTTGACTTTCATCTTATTCGGTAGAGTTTCACTGTCCAAGGGAAAATCGAGTACAATTTTAACACCTAATTTCTGTATATTATTTTCAGTTTTATATCATTAGGTTTTTCTATAAATGGAATATACCAGCTGCTTGTTTTAATTCTTGTAACTGATAGTACTTCCGTGTCTATGTTATTACAGTTTTTAAATATATATGTATACTAGCGGACCCCACAGATGTTGTCCTGCATGATATTTCAAGCGATTAGGATATTAAACAAAGTATGAAAGTACCGACAGCAGCGCCATCTGTCGGGCTGATTTGTGAATCTAACCACTGGCTCCATCCAAACGCCCTCAAAAAATATCATTCAAATCGGGCCGTTTAAGAGAGTTCAGTGACATACATACGTATATTAGAATTATATATATTATATATATATATATATATATGTAAGCTATCCTATCTTTTAAGTTGGATCAAACTACACACGGTGTGCAAATTTGCATGAAATCGGTTCGGTAGTTTAGGAGTCCATCGCGGACAAACAACGTGACACGTAATTTATATATATTAAGATTTGTCATACATAACGTTAAATATTTAACAATATTATTCTGTGTTATAATAATTAAATATAATCCGATTACTTTTTATGTTATCACCGTAAATTCTGTGAAGTTCTTTTAAGTAATTAAATTAATCGAACATTAAATAATAAAGTTCGACTACATGTGTGAAGTTGAAAGCTCCCGTAATATAAGTGTATGGATTGTATATTCTAAAGTAATTTATTAATAGGCATTAAAATTATTCTTAACGAACAATTCCTATCTATGGTTCGTTAGTGTTACGAATTGTTATATTTGATATAAAACTCGAACGTAAATTATTCAAACCCTCATTTAGTATTCAATGATCATTTCTAATATTGTGATTGACCCGACCTACATCAGTATTACATTTAGTGTACCCTCGACCCTAGACTTTTTTATTTGTCATTAACGGATCTTGCCAAGTCAATTCTTTAGTATTTTTTATGATGAAAATGAATGCTTTTATATAAAAATTAATATTGTTCGCAGTATCTCGACCGATATTTTTTAAATGTAACGTCAAGGTCACATTTAATAGACTTCAGTTGTTAATAAAGTGTTAACTTTTACTGCCATTTAGTCAATATTAAATTTACCATATCAAGGTTTTTCTTTACCCTATATTTCTATAACGAATAAATTTTCTTTCCTCCAACTTCGATTTTGCTCCCTTTGGAGTAGAGACTCTTGGGCCGTAGAGTTCAAGTGCACAGGGACAAATTAAAGATTTAAGTTGGGCCTGGTAGATAGCACTGGTGACTCCAGAACTGGTGCTTCCTCGCTCAACGAATAAGTATCGCAATACAGTGAGGGAATGCTGCCAGCATTGAAGGAACACAAGGACCAAAGTTTTTAAATTTGTTTTATTATCTATTTATCAATTTTTTATTATTATTATTACCATGTAGGTCAAGGAAATCGTAAATACTGTATAAATATACTGACGAAAAATATTGTACATGAATTGCACCGTTTCTTGGATGTTTTAAACTACGTTACGTTCCGTATTACGTCTGTTTTAGTCCGTTAAATCTATTAAGATTTGGAGGTTTTGACCTAACAGCATATATTGTACGTACGTACAAAGTAATTTACAGGTACTAGCTGGGGTGTGATTCTCTAATTATTTCATAAATCGTATTTAGAATTTTAAATGTCTTTGTCAAAGTTACATAACTTTTGTAAGATATTGTCGTACTTTTACAACATAAAAATTATTTTAAAAGTCTGAAACTTTTTGTTCTGTTAATTTAAATATTGGCGTGTGTATAAATATGGTGCTATTGAAAGACAATATATACATAAAATAATTAAATTGCAAAATTTATAAACACATGAAAAGCTAAATTAATTATTCATAATTACGCTTTCAGTTTGTAAGTTTTGTTCGGTTTCGTACTTAATTAAAAATTAAATATAATGCTAACAAGGTCATGTTCTATTTGCGTGAAGCAACTGAATTTTTTTATCCAAATTTAATTCTCGTAAAACTTTTATACGCTCTAAATATGTTGGAAAATTTATCGCAATTTAATTGAGCCTGACTGCATTACAAAGTGTTGAGTATAAATAATAATTAACTAAGCTGATTTATGTATTGCTTTTAGATACAAATACAGTAAACTTTACTTTACTACTTTACTACTTTTCATAGTAAAGTCCTATTAAGCATATGCAGACAGTAAACTCCTTCTCCCTTAACCATAGCCTTTTTCATATAAAAGCAAAAAAATATATATTTACGAGCCAATCATTTAAAATACTTCGTTTTAATTATTTTAAAATATTAACAGTTTTATGAATTACAGCGGTGGGATAATAATATGCTTGTG